ACGCTGGTTCATCATCCTCGTCCTCACCACGTCCACGGGGTTGGAGGCGATGGCCCCCGCCAGCCCGCACGTGAAACTGGAACTGCACACACAGAGCAGAGAGGGACAGCCCTGACACGGCCACTCCCCCTCACACAGGCACAAACACCTTCCACATGAGCTGCACTACCTGCTCCCACCAGGAAAAGGGGCAGTGCCTCCCCTGGGCCAGCTCAGGGGAGGATAACGCTCAGCTAAGCCAGACCCTCACTGAGCCCACAGCTGGTCCCACAGGGCACCTGCAGCCCTGCAAGGCTGCCAGGTGCTGCCCAGGTAACACAGACCTGAAGGCATGCCCTGGGAGTGCACATCCTTTCCACCAGAGCAAACATTGCTTTGGGAAGGAGGGAGGAAGAGCAGAGATAGCAGAAAGGATCACAGAGCAGAAAGGATCACAGAGCAGAAGGGATCACAGAGCTGAAAGGGTCACAGCTGCCATTCCCCCCCTCCATGGAGGCTCTGGTGCTCCTCAGCCTCACCCCAGCTGGCAAAGCCAATGGAAACACTGCAGCACGTGCAGCATTGACAACACGGAGGTGAAAAAGGATTCCAGTGTTCTCTGCCAGCTGTGCAACACCTGCTCTGGGTCCAGCCAGCTTCATGTCTGCTTCTCTCTCAAGGCTCTTCCAGCAGGGGCTGCAAGGTGACAGGGCCTGGAAAGGCGAGGACTAGGGACTGGAGCAGTTTTGGAGGGATTGTTACACATGGATCCCCTGCCTGGTTCATACCAGGGCACAGACGTGGGGCAACTGCATTTCTGTCAACAGCCTGCTGAAACCAAGCTGGCATTTCATGTCACCAAAGGATTTCTGCCAGCTCCTTCCCCAAGGAGGTCTCTGGGATGTGGGGATGGGTTAGTGCTGGGGGGACTCAATGGTCTTGGAGGTCTTATCCAGCCTTAATAATTCCATACCTGCTGCTGACTCTGAGGTGCTCCAGCTGACAGAGCAGATCCTCTGGAAGCACTGACCCTGCTCCTTGCACTCCATGGATGGTCTCTACCTAGCCCCCACCTGGCTCCTGTGCCTCACAGCCCCCCAAGCCTGCAGCAGGTACTCACACGAAGTGGGCAAAGATGGTGTCCCCCATGAGGCCTGACAGGATCAGATGTTTCTTGGTGATGTCGTAGACTGGCAGCTCCACCCCCACCACGATGGCTGCTCGTTGGGCCGTGGGGACAACACCCTGTGGGGCAGGGACACTGTCACCAACTGCAGTCACATGCCCCAGCTCTCTCAGGGCCTCCTGAGAACCCCCCCTGCACCCTCCCTGCAGGCACACCAACAGCACCCAGCTGTGCTGCAGAGCCAAGCAGGATGTCTCCATCCTGGCAGCATTATCCCAGCTGCTTTCCTGCTCCAGCACGTGGGGACAGAGCTGCCACCCCCTCACCTTCTGCACCAATTTCAATGCCAGGAAAGATTCTGAGCACAAGAGCAGCAGTTTAAGGAGCCAGGAGGGGCTCCAGGTGCTCCTTGCTACAGAACAGCAGGACAGCACCTGCTTCCCTAAGATTTTTGTTAGTTCTGCTGTTGGTGGGGAATTCTAGGAGTTGGTGCTCACCCTCCAGAGGCCTCGGGTACCTTCCTGCTGGTAGATGTCAATGAAGCTGCCAATCATCCCACCCTGGAACAAGCTGCCCTGAGCCTGCATTCGGATCTGGAAGAAAGGGAAGAGTCAGCAGGAGGACATCACCACCTGGCCTGACTCCATAGAGCTCCTGGGAGAAGAAACAGAGGGGCTGTTCTCCACATCCCTCTCCCTGCAAACCACATGGACAAGGGTGGCAGGAGGCAGGGACAGCAGAAGGGTGGGGGCACAGGGACATGAGGGACAAGGCCCAAAAGCAGTCCCAGAAGGGGGATCTACACAGGGACAAGAGTGGGGAAATTCTCCAGCACCATGACCAAGGGGACAGAAGCAGCTGGCTGCCACCTGCTCACCTGGCCCAGGTCAGATAACACAGCTGCCACCCTTCACCAGGACAAATGTCATCGTCCTTGTTGCCCAGAGAAGCTGTGGCTGCTCTATCCCTGGAAATGTTCCAGGCCAAGTTGGACAGGGCTTGGAGCAATCCGGTCTAGCGGGAGGTGTCCCTGCCTATGGCAGGAGGTGGAAGGAGATGGTTTTTCATGCCCATCCCAACTCAAACCATTCCAGGATTCTGTGATCTTTAAGGGCTGTGTTTTTAAACATCTGTTAATTACCCTGGGCTTTGATCCCCATTCATTAAAAAACCCCAAACGAGCAGAACTGGTGGCTCAGGGAGCACTGAGCTGCTCCTCCCACAGGCAGCCAGGAGCAGCCCTTACCTTCAGCACATCTGTGGGATTGGCCAGCGCAGAGGAGATGACCCCCGAGACCACCCCACAAATCACATTGATGAGCAAGGTTTCATCTGCAACCAAGGAAAGGAGGTCAGACCCTCAGGGGAGGGGGCACAGCAGGAGGGAACGAGGGCTGGGAAGAACAGAGCAGCTCAATTCTCAAATCACACAGTGAAGCTGTAGGAGCAGGGCCTGGGCAGGTGCCACAGCCCACGACAGGTCTGTCCCCACCTGCCAGGGACAGAAAGTGGCAGCTGAAAGACCCAGCAAGGCATTCTCAGACTGACTAATGAGAAGGAAAATCCTGGGACACGTGAAAATTGTGAACAGTTAATTATCTGAGATTTCTCATTGCAGGGATGAAACCAACACAGAGGCAGACAGAGAGGGACAGCCCAGAGTTTCCCCAGGTCCCTGGATTTGCCCACAGCCACTGGAGTCAGCTGAGGATGCAGAACAGGCAGGGAGTTAGACGGATTAGTGCCAGGGAACAACCCAAGCTTCCAGGCCCAGTATTAGGATGATGGTTACGTAGGGAAAAAGCACAGGCCTTTGCTGGTACTGACCAGGACACTTCCCAGAGGACACCAGGCTGCCCCAGGCCTGTAGGGAGACAAACATTCAGCCATGGAGCTGGCAGCTGGAAAGGCTGGAACAGCGAGGGGGGTGTGGGGCCTGTGTACACAGACAGAACCAGGCAGGGAGAGGAGTTACTGGAGCAGAACAGCAGCCCTGAAAGGACCTCTGGAGTCAAAGAGCCTCCCGAGATGGAAAGGTTACACAAAGATCACCCAGTCCAGCCCCTGGCCCTGCACAGACACTCCAACAATCCCACCCTGTGTATCCCTGGGAGCAGTATCCAAACACTCCTGGCAGCCTTGGGGCCGTGCCCATTCCCTGGGGAGCCTGGGCAGTGCCAGCACCCTCCGGGGCAAAAACCCTTCTCCTGGTATCAACCTAAACCTCCCCTGGCACAGCTTTGTATCATTAGTGTGCTGCATTTCAGCCACCCATCCAGCTTTCAGAGGCTGGATCAGCGTTACAACATTCCCTCACATCACAGCAGGGATGAAAATCTCACCTGCACATCTCTGTGCTCCCTGGGGAACACCCACCAGACTCCTGCTGCTCCACTCCCCAGGCAGAGCTGCACAGGGCAAGGGCATTGGTGGAACTTCGCCTGTGCAGTTAGCAGAGCTGGACTGCACAATTCCTATCCAGAATGTGCCTGGCTGTGACGGGGCAGGCTCAGGTTGGACACCAGGAGGAATTTCCCCACAGAAAGGGTGGTCAGGGATTGGCAGGGGAGGTTTGGGGGTCCAAGGAAGGCCTGGGTGTGGCACCCAGTGCTCCAGGATTGGGACAAGGTGTGGATCAGACACAGGGTGGACTTGGTAATCCTGGAGGTCTTTTCCAACCTAAACGATTCTGTGATTCTCTGTGATAGTGTGAAAGAAACCTGGTTGGAGGGAGTGTTGGGGTAGGGAGGCAGTGCAGGGCACAGGGAGGTTCCCATGGGGATTGAATCTAATCCTCGCTCTCGGTGGGAAACAAAACCACAGTGCCCAGTAATGGAGCTCCATTCCAGGGTGGGAAGGACAGAGCAAGGAACGAGCAGAACACACAGCCCGGAGTGTGAGCTGGGGGAGCTGGGAGGTGCCCGTGCTGCCCTTCCTCAGCACCGACCTTCCATGCGGTCCACGAAGAGCCGCTTCAGGCTCTGGTAGATCCCGATCTTGATGGTGCCATAGGACGCCTGTCTCAGCAGCGCCGGGGCGATCCTGAGGGGGAACGGAGCCTGAGCATCCCTGTGGGCCAGCCCGGGCCACTCCCCACCGCCCTCAGACTGCCGGGGCCAGGCACAGCTGCGGCTCCGGGAAATGCAGCTCTGATAACCCGGGATAACCCGGGATTGCCCCACGCACCCCCGTGCCAAGGGATGGCACCCGCGCAGCCCTGGCCTTGCTCCCCAGCTCGGGAAAATCGGCAGGCTCTGCTCAGGGAGGGATCCCGGGAGTCCCAGCACCCTGCAGGCCGTGGGGGGCCGGGAAAAGGGAACGGGGAGGGGACCTGGGATGGGCGGGGGAGAACCGGGGAAGGCAGGGGGAGATGCGGAGGTGTGGGAGACGCCCCGGGATGGGCAGGGGGAACCCGGGACGGGTTGGTGGGGGCGACCACGCCAGAACGGGGATGCTGCGGCCGAAGAGAGAGCCCAGCACGGGCACTGGGAGCTCCGGAGCCGGAGGGGAAGGAGGTGCCAGGGCGGGGGGATGCGGGTGCCGGTGCTCACCCCGAGTACAGGGCCCGTCCGCCCTCCTCGCGGCAGATGCGGAAGAGCGCGTGGAACATTCCCCGGTACCGAACCTCGCGGAACCGCGCGTCCGTGCTCTGCCCCTGCACCTGCAGCCGCGTCTTGGTGAGGTCCACGGGGAACGTGCCTGCGGGGACAGCGGGGACGGCGGCCTCAGCGCCCGCCGGTACACGCACCGGTCCCACCCGGTCCCGGTCCCGCGCGGCCCCCGCGCCTCACCGAACTCGGCCACGATGGAGGCGAGCCCGCCATACACGAAGGGTTTCCAGTTGAGCGCGGACATGGCATGGCGGGCGGACACCGCCGCGCGCGCCGCCGCCACCGAGCCGGGACCGGAACCGGAACCGCGCTCCGCACCGCCGCAAGGCGCGCGCCCCCTGCCGGCCCCGGCACACGGGCCGCACCGGCACACGGGCCGCACCGGCACACGGGCCGCACCGGCACACGGGCCGCACCGGCACACGGGCCGCCCCCGGCACACGGGCCGCCCCCGGCACACGGGCCGCCCTCCCTCGGCTGTCTCCGGGAGCGGTCCCGGTGCTCCGGAGGAAATGCCCCCTTGCGCCTGGAACCGGCACGGACCCGCCCTGCGGAGATTCCGCCTGGTAGGAGCCAAATCCGGCTACGGCCCCTCCCTTCTCCACCCTGCGAATTCGCCACGCCAGCCAAATGAGCCCAAAATAAGCGTAAGAAAAAAGGTGACACCTCCTCCCTGGCCCGCGGACAGGAACACTGCTCCCGGGACCAGCTTCTCCCTAACAGGAACTTTTATTAAGAAAGCTTTAAACAAACCCATAATAAATCACCCTGACACAGCAGTGCAGCCCTGTGGATACACTGCGGAATCCAGAAGATGCTGGGTGGGCACAGGGCCCAAACCTGGCCCACGAGGCCACACAAGACATGGAGCGACTTCTGCCTCAGTGCAAGAGGGGGACACTGCCCCAAGATTTAGGGAAAGGAGCATCCTGCTGCTCCCAGCCTTCACCGCTTGACACTCCCCATGGTTGAAGGACAAACCCCTGTCCCAGCCAGCAGCACAGGCAGCAGGGAGAGCCCTGGCACAGAGTGGGATGAGAGGCAAGGAGGAGCTCCCAGGTGACAGGTCCAACCGTGGCAGCCCAGGAGCTCGGAGCAGGTGCGGGCAGGCTCACCCCAAGTGCTCACCCAGGGCTCAGCAGCGGCCAGAGTCTCTGTCTCTGCCAGAGCCCCGCTCTCTGTGCCGGGAATGGGACTCTCGGGATCTGCCACCCCTGGGGGACACATCCTGCCGGCTGCTGTGCCCATTACCCCTCCTGCCAGCCTCCTCCCACTTCTCCCGCTCCTCCCAGGAGTTCTTGTCCCCCCTCCTGTCCGAGTGCCACTGGTGCCGCCGCTGCTCCTCATCCCGCTGCGTCCTGCTCCCGGTGCTCCCACCAGCGTAGCGCTCGTACCCAGGGTCCTCCTTCTCCTTCTTGATCTTGATCCTGCCATGGGGCTCCTCCGTGCTCACCCGCTTCCCAGCTGGAGGGCTCGGCTTTGACCGTTCTGCTCTGCTCCGCTGCTTCTCTGGAAGTAGGGTTCACGTTTTGGGATGGACCAAACTCCAGGAGCACCTTGCTCCCCACGGTTCCCCCAGCAGCATCCCCACTCCTCCCTCCACCCCACTTCCCAGCCCGCTTCCCCCTCAGGGCGATCCCAGTCCACTTCCAACTACAGCTTTTTCTCCTCCAGCTGCAGCCATCCCACTCTCTCTTCAACACTCACATCATGTTCTTCCCAGCAAGGCTGGGCATTTCCACACCACTTGGAATGCCGGGAACCTCCCTTTCATTCCCCTTCCTCAGTAATGTTGTATCTACTCTGTGGAAATTACCTCTCCCCACCTCAGCACTCTTCTTTCTTGGCTCTCCTCCTCCCTCATTTTTGAGCATCACCTCAGCACTCTGTAGCGACACTTTGTTCCTACCCCCATTTTGTGTCCGTTTTTTTCTTTCTCCAGCCTTCTCTCCATGCAGACTCCAGCCCCTAAACCCTACCCCGGGCACTCCCCACTGGGATCCAGCCTGCCAGGAACACTCCTCACCTTTCTGCTTTTTCACAGGCACATCCTCATCCTCAGACAGGGAGTCGGACGAGCTATGAGGTGGCGTTTTGACTCCACAGCCCTTAGCATGGAGGTCTCTGGTGACCTCATCCCAGTCCTCGGACTCCTTGGGGGGCCGGTAGTTGGCCACATGGTCCACTCGGATTGTCCGGCCCTTGATCTGCGGGGCCAGGCTGTCACTGTCACCGGCAGCTCCCAGCTCCCAGGCCGGGCTGTCACCGGCAGCTCTCAGCGAGCCACGGCAGCACCTGAGTTCCACTCACCTTGATCCCATTGAAGTTATCCACAGCCAGGATGGTGCTCCTCTGGTCCTCATAGCACAGGAAGCAGAAGCCCTTGGACTTTCCGGTCTTCTTGTCCCGCACGAGGTTGATGTTGACGACCTCGCCGTACCTGTGACACAACGGGCACAATGGGCAATGGCAGCGCCCGCGGCAGCGCCAGCAGGAACCGGGGCTGCGGCACTTACTGCGAGAACACGCAGATGACATCGCCCTCCGTCAGCTGGTAGTGCAGCCCGCCTGCGGGGAGAGGGGACGAAAGGAAAGGGCCTACAGCACCGGCGCCGCCCGCCGCCCCCGCCCCGGCCCGTACCCACAAAGATCCAAGCGCTGTCCTTGTACTCCGCGTGCCACGACACCGCCTCCTGCACGCCCAGCTCCGCCTCCCGCGCGTTCAGCTCATTGATCAGCTTCACCTTGGTCAGGGGGCTGCGGGCGAGGCACCGTCAGCACCAGCACCGGCGGAACAGGACCGAAACCGGGCTCAGCCTTACCCCGCACCCCCAAACCTACTTCATGGCGGCGGCGGCGCGCACTGCGCCTGCGCGCGGCACCGCCCCGCCCCGAGCCGAGGCGGACGTAGCCGAGCGCAGCCGAGCCGGGCCGATTATAGCCGAGTGGAGCCGAGTGTGCCCGAGCCTGGCCGATTATAGCCGAGTGGAGCCGAGTGTGCCCGAGCCTGGCCGATTATAGCCGAGTGGAGCCGAGCGTGCCCGAGCCGGGCCGATTGTGACCGAGTCAGGTCAATAATTACCGAGATAGCCCGAGCACGGCCGAACAGGGCCGATTGTAACCGAATAGGACCGATTGCAGCCGAATTGGACTGATTGTAGCCGAGCGCTACAAACCCAACTGGACCGATTGCGGCCGAGCCGGGCCGATCACAGCCGATTAGGGCCGGCCGGGCTGAGGCGCAAAGCAAGAGTCGGAGCGCAAGGGGCTCAGAGCCTTTATTGGGGTCCGGGCGGGTCCCGCTCAGCACGGGCAGGAGCCTTTCCCGCTGGCCTCGTCCAGCCGCCGCGGCTGCGGCTGGTGCTGCGCCGGCCAGCCCTCCGTGTCCCGGCAGGGCAGCGAGCGCTGCGCCTTCAGCCGGCACACCAGGCACATGAAAATCGCGTCCACGTTCTGGCTCTCCTGTGGGTCCTTGGCCGAGGTCTCAAACAAAAGCATGTTGTGAGCGTCAGCGAACTTGAGGGCCAGGCTGGATGGCACCTGGATCAGGTCCTTCAAGTCACACTTGTTACCCACGAGCACCCTGGGGACGAGCGGGGGCACGGCGTGCCCGTTGCACTCCTCGATCCATGTCTTGAGGTTGGTGAAGGAGCTCATCTTGGTCACGTCGTACACGAAGACCACGGCGTGCACGTTGCGGTAATAGTGCTCCACCATGCTCTTCCGAAACCTCTCCTGCCCAGCCGTGTCCCACACTTGCACCTGGGGAGCGAAGCAGACGAGAACAGAGGCTACAGGGGTGTGGAGCATGGCCATGGGGAGGGGGCTGCAGGAAGGCTTCCTGCTGCTCGGCTTTCAGAGAGTCCCAGCTTGGCTTGGACTGGAAGGAAACTTAAACACCAAACAGTCCAACCCCCTGCCATGGGCAGGGACACCTTCCACTATCCCAGGCTGCTCCAAGCCCTGTCCAGCCTGGCCTTGGACACTTCCAGGGGTCCAGGGGCAGCTACAGCTGCTCTGGGCACCCTGTGCCAGGGCCTCCCCATCCTCACAGCCAAGAATTTCTTCCCAATATCCAATCTAAACCTGCCTTCCTTCAGTTTAAGGCCATTGTCCTGTCCCTCCATCCCTTGTCCCTCTCCAGATCTCCAGAGCCCTTTTGGGCACTTGAAGGGGAGCTAAGGTCTCCCCAAGCCTTCTCTTGTCAAGGCTGAACCACCCCAGCTCTCCCAGAGCAGAGGGGCTGCAGCCCCGAGAGTGTCTCTGCAGCCTCCTCTGGACTCACTTCAACAGATCCATGTTATTTGTGCACCAAATCCTGTGCCATGAATGAGAATGCTGACAATTTCACAGAGGAAAAGAGAAGATAAGGAGGGGGAGCCACCCTTTCTGTAGGAGCACAGTGGGAGAGCCAGGAGCTCTGTGGGATGGAGGAGCCAACAGAGCTCATGGGGGAGGATTAAAGAACAGAACATCACGGGTGACATTGTAGACGTTGCACACCACCTGGCCAGGAAGAACAAGCAGGTGAGGTGCTCTGGGGACACTGAGCAGCAGCCTTGTGTTTGCAGCCCCTGGTTCTCACAGAGAACTTCAGCCACCCCAACACCTCCTGGAAGGACAGCCCAACAGGGCACAGGCAATCCAGAACATTCCAGCACACCATCGATGGCAACTTCCTGACCCAAGTGACAGAGATGGCAGGAGGCCTCTGGGTTGGATGAGCAGAAGATGGAGCTGGATTGGGAGCTGGCTGAATGTCTGGGTCTGGACGGTGCTGGTCAGTGACACAAAGTCTGGGTGAACACTGGTAACCAGCAGAGTGCCCCAGGGGTCACTCTGGGTTCTCCTGGTAATGGTTTGTAGCCTGGAAGTGGCAATGTCCAAGTTAATCCAAGTTGCCCTGTACCCAAGAAAACAGTACCTGCCTCAGAGCCTTCCCAATTGAAACATGCTGGCAGAGCAGAGCTGCTGCTCAGTCCTTTCAGAGCCAGTCTCTCCCAGGAACAGCAAGGGAGGGAGGGTCCCTCTCCCCCCTCTCACCTCCTATCTTGGATACACATCCCAGGAAAGGCTGGTTTGCTGCACTGCCTCCCACTCCTGCCCACTGGAGCTCAAATCATATCCAAAGGTAGAAAACCTGGCAACATTTTCCAGATAGTGGCAGCAAACAGGCTCAATGCCAGCCTGCACCACAGCTCACACCAGCACGGCTCCGTGGGGCTGGACACAGCTGGGGAGGGCAGGGAGAATGAGCACCTCTAAAGGAGAAAGGAAAAACATTCATGGACAGCCCAGGAGCACAACCAAACCTCTCACCCACCATCATAAGCTTTGGTTTCATTGTGATTT